GAAGAGAGAGACCTCTGCACATCTCAGACGCCAGCTGCAAGAGCTCTCTAACATTAGAATCATAAACTGTGCTTCATATAGGTTTTATTTTGGTACTTTACACGTCACACAGTCTCAAACATTGCTTATATGGCAAGTTCCTCATTTCAGTGTCTTATCTATTAATATGGCTGTGCACTAAAACTTCCTGTTGTTCAGTCTGGCTGAGTTAGTTTGTGAGTTAAACGTGGCCTTGCTCTACAAGCCTTTATTAAAGTACATAAAACAATATAATAGGAAAATAAGGATACTAAGGATATTGATTTCATGACACCGGCAACCTTCTGATTACAAGACGAACGCCCAACTCTTGAGCCACGTTCGCCCCCTAAAAAACCATAAAGAGCATCAATGCTGGATTTGAACTTTTCTTTTAAGCTGGTAATAAGTGTGTAAAAAAATGTGCAGCTGACATCATCTAATGTTTGTTAAAGTTAGTTTCCCAGCACTAACTCAGCTAATCGGTGCTTCACAGTTAGACTTTGAGGGAATATTAGGGCCACACTGAGAATAAAGTCAGAAGCTTGAGATTAATCTCGAAATGCTATTCTGCCTTGTGACAACAACAACTTTAATCTCCACATTTTGAATAATACATATATTTTTATTCTTAACGGGGCCTAGTACTCCGTCACATTGGGGAGAGAAACTTGTACTGAATGTGTCGAGGCTTTGTTGCACAGCCAACAGCAGCTTTTCTTACACCAACATATTTTAGTAAGTTCAACTAACAGTGAAAGTAAACAAGTTGGCGCCCTCTTTCTGTTTTGCTCGAGCTGACAGAGTGAATGTAGTTTGATCCTCCAGGTGTTTGCAGAAGGTGAACTCCATACAAATAACCACGGCTGTGTAAACTTAGCTGCAGAGCTCACACTCAGTGAAGTTTGTTAAAGCTGTGTGAAGCCTAGCAGACAGCTGAGAGTGGGTCTTACTCACAACACACAATAACTCAATCTTGACAGGGAAATAAGTGGTTCCTCCCAGAGCAGGTCTGAGCTCCGAACTGGTTTCACTCAGAGAATGTTTTTGTGTTTCACTTGGTAACAGGGTTCAAATAGATCCAGGACGTCCCTGCTGTGTTTGTGTTGGATGAGCATTTTCCTCTTCTTCTTACAGTAGTTGATCAACTTACACAGACTCGTAGTGTGTAACTGTGTAACAACTGCTAGCCCCTACACAGTAAACAGCTGTATTATTCTGAAGCTTGGACAAAAGACAACACAATGTTACAGAATAAAATTAAATCTGATAACTTTGACAAATATAACAAGAATAAAGGGACTCACCTTTAATTGGTCTTTACCTTGTCTGTGACAGACACAGGCTTGTCTTTGTGCTCCTTAGTGTCTCTCGTGTCATCAGTGTCCTTTCCTGTCTGGTCATTCTCTTCCTCATCACCTAGCATCACACTCTGTCGAACACTGACAGAGATCACCAACGCCTGAATGATGCCATAGATCAGGGCAAACTGCAGGAGATACTCCTGGATCAACCAGAGTAATCCTGCCATTCCAACTGTGGCGACAATAAACATCGCCATGCCATGAAACCACAGTCTCAGCGCTCCCTGGACACCCAGCACCTCCAGGATGAGCTTGGCGGGAGGTGACACAGTCCACAGGAAGCCAACAACAAACAGGTCGAACAAGTGGCGTAGGAAGTTAAAGCAGATCTCGTAGTGCTCTGG